TGTTCTGAGCACATTTATAATAAATCCGTTTTTCATGCATACAATTATGTAAGCTTACCAGGACCCCTTTCATCTCCACTATTAAATAGAGGAATTAATTACAGCGAAATCAACTAATTATTCAAGACTAGGCTGGAAGCTTTTTCAAATATGCTTTAGGTGAAATAATGGGAATACCTTAGGGCCTTTCTAGCTTTAGGATTTAGAGTCCTATTAAGGATATGCTAGCTTTTTGCACACAAAACTATATCCTCTGATATAGACATCTCCTGCCCACAGTTGGAGCTGAGAGGAGTTTCAAAAGCAGCTGTGAGAATAACATTGGGAGGGTGCCTGCTGCTCAAAAGTTAAAATAAAAAGTTTTATTTTTAAATATCCACTGGGCACTTGGGCCTATCTAATGCAATCTCACTCTAGATCCACTAAGTGTTAGTGGAGTATGGGATGCCAGGTTCTCCCCATCCTTTCTGAAATTAGTAAATGTGGGATTTGATCAATGGATTCAGCAAGGCTGAAGAAGAAGTCAAGTAAGCATTATCTGGAGACTGGCTGAGAGAGGCGCCAGCAAAGAACTAAACAGGTGATGCAAAAGTCATTACCCTAGTAAAAGCCAACACATCAGGACATTCAGTGTCCTGATTCCCTCCCACAGCTGTGTGTTAGTTAGCAAAATAAAATAGGAGAGTTGGGGGGGGGATTTGTCAGGGTTTATGTCACTGCAGGAAAAAAATGTTCTTTTTGCATGAGGCTTGGGTTACGTTTTTAGCAAGAGTTTTTGGGAAGAAAGAGGTTGGGGCCAATGCCATGCAAGTTGTGTGGAAGAGACACAGAAATGGCATTTGGGCTGTCTTTGAATCCAGTGCTGCGCTGCTGTCGAAGCGCGCCACTCTTGAGACGTGTTGCCCCAAACCCTTGCTCTTTATCCAGACTCAAATATGTGCAAATAGACCATATCTCATAAAGACACCACAGCCTCTGCTGCTCCTCATTTTTCCCAAAAGGAACACATGGTTAAGTGCCAAGACCCCTGGAATCTTGGATTGCTTGGCAGGAATTGGAGTGGCCTTTAAAAATAGGCACATTGGATTGGTTACATTATGCTCAAATCCAAGAGGTTTTTAAAATGGATAAAAAAGTTGGTTTCCAGGTGGAAAAATCGAAATTAGAGACGGAATTGTTAGAATCAAAAACTAAGACACTTTCGAAAATGTATAACTTGCTGCTTAAATGGAATACACAGGATGAGACAGTTAAATCTGCCATGATAAAATGGGCACAGGATATTGGACACAACATTATGTTTGAAGACTGGGAAAGGTTATGGAACACCGGTATGAAGTTTACGGCATGCAATGCCTTGAAAGAAAACATTATGAAAATGATATACCGGTGGTACATGACCCCAGTCAAGTTAGCTAAGATATACCACCTGTCTGATAATAAATGCTGGAAATGTAAGGAGGCAGAAGGGACATTCTTCCATCTTTGGTGGACCTGCCCAAAAGTGAAGGCCTTCTGGGAAATGATTTATAACGAGTTAAAAAAGGTATTTAGGTATACCTTTCCTAAGAAACCAGAGGCCTTCCTATTGGGCATGGTGGACCAGAAGGTGTTAAAGAAGGACATAACCTTATTTATGTATGCTACCACAGCAGCAAGAATTCTTATTGCAAAGCACTGGAAGACTCAAGATTTACCCACGCTGGAGGAGTGGCAGACGCAGTTGATGGATTACATGGAATTGGCTGAAATGACTGGCAGAATCCGAGATTTGGGCGAGGAAACAATGGAAGAGGACTGGAAAAAATTTAAGGACTATTTGCAAAAACACTATAAGTTGTACGAATGTTAAGAAATATGCACGATTAAGAAATTTTTGCTTTAGCAACTTGATTAGGTAAACTGAAAATTAAGACAAGAAAAAAGAGGTGGTAATATGAAACAATTTTATTATGTTAACTTTAAATGTACAAAGTTGGGATATAATATTGTGAACTTGGAAACATAATAATTGAAAGATACAGTAAGTTAAGAAACAAGGTAACAAATTGCTGAAACTTTTATGGCAAAGAACGCAGAGTCTGGAGGATGTGGGGAAGTCCATTTGGAATATTGAAAGAACTACTGAAAATCGGATTGTAATAATCTTTTTATTATTTTTCTTAGTATTTGTTTCTGGTATCTTCTTACTTCAATTTTGTATTTATGACCCTAAGAAAAGAAACACAATAAAAAATGTTTTAAAAAAAAATAAAAAAAAATAAAAATAGGCACATTGCAAGTGGGATCTGCAGCAAAATGTTGCAGAAGGCAAGCTCTCCTATTTGGGGCTCTGGCCAAGCTGGACCCAGAAACTGCAAGTGAGCAGGGTGGGTAGCAGCAGTGTGTTGTAACCCCTGTGCTGCAAGGTGTGGAGGTACTGAAAGAGCCCCACCACTTCCAATAATCCTGTGTGATGCAGGAGGGGAGCAGTGCCACAACCTTAGGTTGAAGCAGGGGCATTGGTCCAGCAGGGTCATCTGAGAGCACCCTGTCATGCTCTCTCTTTCTGTTTCAAAGTCTTCCCTTTCAGCCATTGAAGTTGAGGAGTCTGAAACTAGGGTCATGGCACAGCGGTGCCCGCTTGGCAGTGGAACTCTGTTGAGCTAGAGAAGGGGTCGGCAAGGTTTACCTGCCTGGGCTGGTCAAGTCCTGCAGAGATCTCTCCATGGGCTGGATTGTGCGTGTGTGTTTTTTCTGTCATCTGGGCGTGTGCGGCCACAATTTCCGGAGTCTGGGCATGTGCAGATGTGATTTCCTCTGCTGCACCGCACCGGTTCAGCACAGTGCGCGGGGACTCACCAAGCGGGCGGCTCGGTTCAGGGGTGGCTCGTGAGCCGGTTAAACTGCCCCCGTGGGCTGCTTGTTGAGGTGGGGAGCCCAAGGCTGGCAGCAGCAGTGCCCTGCAGGAGCGCATGTACACACACACACACCTGCAGGGGAAAAATGCTGCCAGCTCAGAGCTCTCTTCTCTGCCCTTTCCCCATGCCAGCAAACAGCAGTGGAAGGCCACCGCAACTGTCTCACCTGTTTCACATGCCACTGCAGCCTTGAACTGAATCCTTGTGTGCTGTTCAGGCATCTCTCCATGAGGAAAAGGTTGTGGTGGGGTTGGGGGGGGAGAATGGAAGACAGATACCTTTTTATTTTCCACTGCCATGCTGTCTCCCAAAGACTTTCCTGTGGTATGAGATTTTATATATATATATATATATATATATATATATATATATATATGCTTTCGTAGATTTTCACGGGTACAGGAATGCAGGTTTTGGTGTCCTCGGGTGTCTTCCCGTGTAAAAGTTGGGGTGTCTAGGCGACGTTTCGACGAGGTCGAAACGTCGCCTAGACACCCCAACTTTTACACGGGAAGACACCCGAGGACACCAAAACCTGCATATATATATATATATATATATATATATATATATATATTACTAGAAAAGGTCACAAATTGCTATACAGTGGTACCTCTGGTTAAGAACTTAATTCGTTCTGGAGGTCTGTTCTTAACCTGAAACTGTTCTTAACCTGAGGTACCACTTTAGCTAATGGGGCCTCCTGCTGCCGCCATGCTGCTGGTGTGCGATTTCTGTTTCATCCTGAAGCAAAGTCTTTAACCCGAGGTACTATTTCTGGGTTAGCGGAGTCTGTAACCTGAAGCATATGTAACCTGAAGCATATGTAACCTGAAGTGTATGTAACCCGAGGTACCACTGTATAGTTGGAAGGTCTGCGGAGTGAAAAAGATAATAGGTTCCCTTTTCACTTATCTTGCTCCTCTATAGTGCAGGGATGCTCAACTTCACCCTCTCCAGAATGCCTGTCGTAAGCTGTAAGAGTCTTAGGTTTTTACCTTCAGAAAGTTCACAGGACATTGTTTTCTTTCTCTCTCTTTTTTTTGTGTAGACAAACAAAACTTTTCTTTCTTTCTTTCTTAATTTAAAACTTCCATATGTATGCATACCTGGAGAGTTCCCCAAGTATATTGGAACTAGTACCTTATTTGTTGATTTTAACTTCCAAACTGATAATGAACTTAGATGGCTGTGTTTCTGCTGGAGAGAATGGTGGTGATACATAGGGAAAATATAATGCACCGTGATTTTCAGCAAAAGCGACACTGAGCACATAATTATGCAGTGCTCTGCACAACTGCACAAAGACACAAATTTGTCCTCTAAACTTCCTTCCTTCCTTTATAAGCTGTATAATACCCAATGTACCTTTAACTCCTGTGAGAGAGATTTGCAGCAGAATTGTTTCCTATCACCATAAGTCTCCCTTAATAATTTAAGCCTTTAATCTTTTACAGTATTTCTCTGTCCCTGTGCAGTCATCCGTAGAGTTGCTATCCATACAACCTGGCTTCACTAATAAAAATGTAATTTCTTAGAAAAATTGCATTGGCTAAAAAGTGGTAGTATAGTTTAACCTATACTAAATTAAGCCATGGTCTATTGGAGAGCCGTTAGAACTTAGGGAGTTTGTTGTGATCATGCAGAATGTGTCAACCAGAGATTTTTACGTCATAAAGTATTATCTTAATCATGAATATGTACTTTCTGGTTCTCTTTAAAGACAGGTTTCCTGATCATTTGCCATAATCACTCATTTTTTTCAGGAAGCTTTGGGTGGGTGGGAGTTAAGAGCTTTCAGGAATATATCATTGGAAGAAGACATTATCCTCTATGCATTTTATAGTTAAAATAGTTTTAATGCATTAAGTGTTTGTATGGTTCATACTCACTTTTCTCAAAAGAAATCTATACTTCTCTGAAAATAGCTGGCTAAGCTTTGGGGCTGATCAATATGGAGCAACATTTCAGAGGTATTTGATATTCACCATGTTAGTGACTTTTGATTTCACAGCTGCCTTTGGAATTCATATAGGGATAAAAATAACCTGATTATTTTTCTCTCTCTTTCTCTTCCCCTCTACCCTTTTGAAATTGCAGGTTTAAGATTTTTACGAGCTCTTAGGCTGATACAGTTCTCAGAAATTTTGCAGTTTCTGAATATCCTTAAAACAAGGTAAGACATTAATGTATTTTCCCTTAACCTTTTGCACAGTGATTAATTTCACAGTTTCTCAGGGCACCGAAAGGACAAGGTTTAGACTCCTGTCTAATTATCAAATATGAACAAAAGTTATGCTTAAATTTCTTCAGCTGCTGCTATTCAGGTAATGGCTAGTTAATTGCTTTATCTGGGAGTCATCCTTTCTCTACTTCACAGAAAATCCAGGGATTTACAGGACAGTCCTATGCATGTTTACTCAGAAGGGCCTTACTTTCAGGTAAACGTGCATAGGATTGAATCATGAATAAATGTGGCAATTAATTGCTCTTGCTAAATTCTGTGAAATACTCTTATTTTTCACTCAGTTTCACAGCTCGTTCTGCCTTGCCAAACTTAATACTGAATGGCATTCATTCATTGATTCAATTTAAGTGTTTGGTGCACTTTTACATTTGTAGAGCGCAGTTCAAAGCAAACATAGCTTAAAAGCAGTGTGGCATCACCCCTCTTTCCACATTTTCAAGGACCATTTTGTTTGTTAGATAAACCAACAGTGCAGTCTTACTCCGAATGTCCCAAGGAGAGATTTATGGATCCTTGAGAGTAGGTTAGAACTAGGTGAAGGGTGATAACCATTTGTTGCAGCCCAGTCATGCAACAGCCATTCTGCCTCATTAACATGGCACAACAAGCCTTGTGCTTGTGGTAGATGTCGCACAGGAACGATTATTATTAACTGGTAGCAGTTGAGCCTCTGTGCTTATGCTTGCAGAAGTGTTGGCATTCAGACTTCTTGCACTGATTTAACAATGGGTCTCACCCTAAATGAGTTGAACTTAGGTTCCCACTGGGAATTTATTCATGACTTAAATCCCACTTAGGTGCAAATAACTTAGTCCGGTTCCAGCCCTGTTTGCTTGTTGAAACAATATTTGCCTCTGAATTATAATGACAAACATACTTTCCCATTTGATTCTGGAGTAGATGGTTTCTCAGAGCTCTAAATATCTTAGTCACTCCTATGTTTGTCTTAAAAGCCCTTACTGCACAAGTCTGACAGCAAGATTAAAACCTAGAGATTGTCTTTGTACCTTTAAATTCCCTGATACAGTGGGAGAATTCACACCTTCCTCTAGCCACTTCTTGTCCTTTTGTCTGTCCTGTCCTCTGCCTATTTGTAACACACCTAGAGTGCTGCTCCTAGAAGGGAATTATTATTATTATTATTATTATTATTATTATTATTATTATTATTATTATTATTATTATTATGCGCCGCCCATTTGAATATATAAAAAAGTGACAAAACACGAAACATTAAAAACTTCCCTAAACAGGGCTGCCTTCAGATGTCTTCTAAAAGGCAGATAGTTGTTTATTTCCTTGGCATCTGATGGGAGGGCTTTTCACAGGGCTGGCGCCACTACCGAGAAGGCCCTCTGCCTGGTTCCCTGTAACCTCACTTTTCGCAGTGAGGGAACCGCCAGAAGGCCCTCGGAGCTAGACCTCAGTGCAGTGGCGTAGCGTGGGGGGTGCAGGGGGGGCCGGCCGCACCGGGCGCAACATCTGGGGTTAGGGCAAATCCATAGGTTAGGGGGCGCAAATCCACGGGTTAGGGGGCGCAAATTACTTGCCTTGCCCCGGGTGCTGACAACCCACGCTACGCCACTGCCTCAGTGTCCAGGCTGAACGATGGGGGTGAAGTGACTCCTTCAGGTATACTGGGCCAAGGCCTTTAGCAGACAAATAGACATTAGGCAGGGCAGAAAGATGGAAATAGCTGCAGTTGCTAAGTTTACCACTCCAGCAGCGATTTAAAACTGTAGTAATGATTTTCAGAGTGCAACCTGTGATGCAGGGTAGAACTTTTCCCAGTGCTTTTTCCGTCCTTGGAATTTTCTCTCCATTTCATAAGTTCATTAGTAACAGTGAATGGGTGCCCATGGCATGTACAAGCTTGGGCAAGCTTGGCAGTTTCATAGTTTCTGCTTGGTTTACTAAATAGAAGTAAAATAGGCATGCTAAATTAGCTCACTCCCTAAGGCTGCATTCTTTTTTGGTCAGTCTGATGTGGGTGAAGGTAGAGGGTGGAGCCAGATGCAAACATAGGTGGAGCAATGTATGCAAATTTTACCTTTGTTCAGTAGGGAAGATTCTACACACAATCAGACACCCTCTATCCTTGCATCCAGAAATAAAAAAACAACAAGAGTCAGTAGTACAAGGAGTGGCCTGAAGAGAGAGGGTGTGGTCTGAGAAAAGCCCCGAGAGCCAAGTAGAGGCCAGGAGGGTCAGATTTCACCCTTTGCCTCAGGTTCCCCACCCCTGCTACAAACAGTGTGCCTCTAAGGAGAAGATTTTGCCCTGGTTGCCACCTATTCTGTCTCCAGTGAAGGGAGCAGATCCTCTAATGAAGACAGTCAGGTTCCTATGAGAGGTGGTAATCCCTTTAAATAACTTGGGTTTTTGGCCAGGGTGGCGCTGTGGGTTAAACCACAGAGCCTAGGACTTGCTGATCAGAAGGTCAGCGATTCGAATCCCCACAACGGGGTGAGCTCCCATTGCTCGGTCCCTGCTCCTTCCACCCTAGCAGTTCGAAAGCACGTCAAAGTGCAAGTAGATAAATAGGTACCACTCCGGCGGGAAGGTAAATGGCATTTCTGTGCGCTGCTCTGGTTCGCCAGAAGCAGCCAACAAAGCAAGTTGAGCGCCGCAACCCCAGAATCGGTCACGACTGGACCTAATGGTCAGGGGTCCCTTTACCTTTAGGCTGGAAGCCATATTGTAGTTTGCAGTTGACATAAAGCTATTTCTCTAGCATTTCAAAGTAATATAATAATCCATCCCAATCCTACCCTCCTCAAATAATTAAATAATCTAGGTATTGTACTTTTGCCAAATAACTAGCATGTAGGTGTGTCTTAAAGTGTATCAGTTTTGTTTTTGAATAAGAGAAGACTTGCCTCCATTGGGGGGGGGGAAGAGTGGGTCCACTGATAATGATTCTCCTCCCCCAAGTCCTCTAAGAACCAAATAGTGGAGCATAAGAATTTTAATGCAAAAGTGGCATTCAACTAAGTTTACTAAGAGTAGGCTTACTAAAATTAATTAACATAGCTACCTTAAGTCCATAAATTTTCATAGGTCCACACTAATTGAATATGACCCTATATTTCTAACGTATTAGTGACCCTATATTTCTAATGTGGCTCTGTTTGGTTTCTTTTCTTGATAGTAAGGGGACACAAAAATTAGGAAGCATCTAGTTGATCAGTCCTGTAAGCCCCTGCTTTTGACAGCAGTTACAATCTGATGTGGGGAGGCAGATGGAACCTAAAATAAAAACCTGAGAACACAGCGCAACAGCAGTGCGCGCACACATCCTGGGCAGTGTAATGACACGAGGACATGAAATTGTGCTGCGCTAGGGGTTGCCAGTGTGATGCCCACAGGCAGGCAGGCAGGCACCCCAGACGCTCCCACTGGTTCCCACCAGGCACCTTGCCCACTGAAAGTAGATTCAGAAGAAGCATTCTGTTGCAGGCAATTGAATAGGTTGCAGCACGCACACAACTGTGATGTGTGCATAGTGCAAATGGTTTGCAAATGTTCCCACCAGCCCAAAAAGGTTGGTGGCCCCCTTAAACTCCACACTATGGAAGGGGAGAAGGAATGTCGCTTGGGCCTTCTGTTTTCAGCTATAGCTGCCTGTCCCTTATCCTGGGGGGGATTCCACCCATCAGGAACTGCTCTAAGGTGACAAACTGAAAAGTGCAAAACTTGGTGACATTTCTCCCCCTGCCCAAATTCCTGGACTCTTAAAGTGACTGAATAATTGACTTTTAAATAAAACCATTGATTGACTTCATATAGAAAAGTGTGTTTTGATTGTGGCTAGTGTAACCGAAGAGAGAGGGGCATCATTTCCTGGGGTGCCTTTTTCTCCTGTGGCTCCTCCTCCTCTTTGCTTGCACTTCAGATCACTCTTCACAAGACACTGTTTTGTAGTGTGTAGAGCCAAAGAGAGACGCTGTGTGCATCCAGTCTATTGAAGGATTGCTGGGGCAAACAAATTTATTTCCTGCAATCAGTGCAGGGGCCATTCATATTACTCTGTTGCTTAGAAAATCAGTTAAGCAAATCATTAAGCAAAGAGGGGGGAGACATATTATCAGCTGGTCTTTAGAATTCATGTAATTATTTTAAACATTCCCCCCATGCTCAGATATTTCTTTAACAGATCCTTCAGGTGCCTTGCTGTTGCTAGGGCTGGATGAACCTGTCAGTTGCAGGTTCTCACAGACTGCATTCACAGAGCAGTTTACAGGTGTTCCCCACTTGCGTAGGGGTTCCATTCCTGCCACCACGTGTGTCATTGGGACACACGTGAGTGGGGATTCCCCTGTTCTGTCCCACCCCCTTTTGGCCCCAAAAGCAGCACTCGGGTTGGCTGGAGTGTGTGTGCATTGTTAAGGGGAGTTCAAGGACTGCCAGCTGAGCGCTTGAGGCCAGAGAGACCCCTCAAAGCCCCTCTTAACGGGGAACCCTGATATCACCGCTGCACAGGGGGTGAGTCACCACTTCACCCTCTTATTGATAGTCAGACTAAAAGATTTCACCTAAAGCCTAAAACTGCCACCCGCAACATGCGGTCTCACCACCCAGACTACCTACAGCTGAAAAAGCACCCCCCAGGAGCTTCAGGGCCCTAGAGAGGGCATTCCCTGTTAATGTCTTATATTTTTGCTTTCACATCATGTACTAGGCAGAGGGCCTTCTTGGTAGTGGCGCCCGCCCTGTGGAACGCCCTCCCATCAGATGTCAAAGAAATAAACAACTATCTGACATTTAGAAGACATCTCCTGTTTAGGGAGACCCAGCCAGATGGGCAGGGTATAAATAAATTATTATTATTATTATTATTATTATTATTATTATTATTATTATTAGTGTTGGTGCTGACCTTTAAAGCCCTAAACTGCCTCGGTCCTGTATACGTGAAGGAGTGTCTCCACCCCCATCATCCAGCCTGGACACTGAGGGCCGAGGGCCTTCTGGCAGTTCCCTCACTGCGAGAAGTGAGGTTACAGGGAACAAGGCAGAGGGCCTTCTTGATAGTGGCACCTGCCCTGTAGAATGCCCTCCCAGCAGATGTCAAGGCAATAAACAACTATTTTACTTTTAAAAGACAACTGAAGGTGGCCCTATTTAGGGATTTTTTAATGTCTGACTCTGTATTGTTTTTAATCGGTTGGAAGCCGACCCAGAGTGGCTGGGGAAACCCAGCCAGTTGGGAAGGGTATAAATAGTAAAGTATTATTATTATAAATTATTATTATTATTATTATTATTATTATTATTATTATTATTATTATTTTAAAAAGCCACTTCTGGAAATATAGCGGAAGTTCAGTGCTTGTTTCCATGTTAATTGCTTCGGGGGGGGGGATCCATTTGCCACCCTATTCACCCAGAAAATCGTGAACATAAAGTGATGAAATGTGGAGCAGTAGACAACCATAGAGTTCTTTCCTGCTGTTTTTGTGGGTGAATCATAGTGATACAGAAGGACACATGTGCAGAAAGCATGAGAGCATGCCAATGTTGTCCAGTGATGTTTATGCTTGTGGCATACCACGCTCAATGTTTTGAATGAAATTTAGTGCAACATGGAAATATACTGATCACAGAGCCACAGTTCCATCACACAACAGATACTACAGTGTGAAAGGAACATACTGTGGTACCTTGGTTTTCAAACGCCTCTGTAGTCGAATGTTTCGTAACTTGAACGCCCAAAACTCAGAAGTAAGTACCTCGGTTTTCGAATGCGCCTCGAAAGTCGAACTGGAAACACAGCTTCCATTTTGAGTTTTCCGAATTGAGGCTTGTGTTTTGAGGCTTCTGCTTCCGGTTTTTGGTTTTTGAATGTTTCAGAACTTGAACGGACTTCCGGAATGGATTATGTTCGAAAACCGAGGTACCACTGTAATAAAATTAGACAGAAGCTCTAGTATTATAATCAGGAAATTATAACACAGTATACCCCAGGTTAAAACGAACCCTCTGTTACTCATTGTTTCCAGCATTAAATCCAGTTATCCACCTTTTAGCAGCAGTTTCAATTAAAAATAAATAAATCCTCATGAACATGTGCCAGCATTGTAGTGCAAATTTCTCCTAGTAGGTAGTTTTAACTAATGCAATCAGTTTCCCCATTCATTATAATTTCTGTACAGTATTTCCACAAATATGTGCATTTTTATTTGCACTTTCCACCAACAGATGCATGTCCATGCACGATGGCTGCGTCACAACATTTGGGAAAGTGAAAATTTCAAAGTATAATTGTGTTTCAGTTTATATATATATATAAATATGGTGCATTCATTTTCTCATTGAAATGCAAACAAAATCAAATAACTCTCCCACCCTTACTTTTCCCCTACCTGGTCAGATAGCTGAGGTGACGGCATTAATCAGCTGAGTGTTATAGGGAGGGAATGCAGAGGCTTAATCTGAATTCCCTGCTCCCATTTTTGAATTGCTGATTGGTGTCTCACAGTACAGTCACTGGATCAGACTAGGATTCTTTTGTTCAGCAGTCATTTGCACGCAATTTATCATCCAGTGAAGGATATACATTTGTGGGTGCCTGCTTCAGTGTTCAAAAGTCTTCTAGCTGGATCTCAGCAAGGAACAGTTGACAACATCCCAATAATTCACCCGGTGCTAGAAAGAACAAATCCATTACTTATTGGCACTTAAGACAGTCACCTCTGCAATTTCACCTAGTTGCGCAACTGTTTTTCTGGGGTTGTTGTCCCCCCCCCGGAAAAAAAGACGTATTAAACTCAATAACGTGAACAAATTTGAATTGATTATTTATGTCTCCTCGCTGCTGGTTTAAATGAGGTTTTTAGTACAACTTCAGGGGCTTAGACTGGACTCAGTCAGAATCAGAGATTGCACAGATGTCTCAAAGAGCTTAAAGAGCAGGGAAATGTTGGTGACTAATCCATCCATCTATATTTAGAACCCTGACTGAAAAGAGAAAAGGCATCGACAGGCAGGAAACAGTTCTGCATAAAACAGGACCTACACTGCACCAAAGTGAGCCATGAGAAGGATGCAAATGTCTGAAGCATTAGGCTGGTTCACACACCTGTGCTCTTAATACGAACAACTGAAAAATCCGTTGGTGGTTTTCTCGTGTGTGAATGAGCCATTGGAGAACTTCCATATCACACCAGGGAGGGATATTTTTGGTGGAGTTCACTATACACATTTGTTAACTTTTCCACAGAATATAATGCAGCTCTGGGGGCTGCGGCTGGGCTCAAATGTTCATCACCCCAGCTTAACCAGTGGTCAGGGAAGATGGAATTTGTAATTCAACAGCATCCTTCTTCTTCTTCTTCCTCTTCTTCTTTATATACTGCCCTCAGGGAGTCTCAGGGAGGTTCACAGAATAAAATCAAAATATAAAACCACAAAATACATAATCAAAATAAAAACAACAACACCCCATCAAACAACAACAACACCACATTTAAAAAGGGGACTCAAGATAGAAGAACACTGAAGTAAAGGATGCTCAGCTGAAACATAAACTCTGAAAACATCTTGTTTGTTTCTGTCTCCCTCCCCCTTCCTTTCTTTAAACCAGTAATTCCATCAAGTTGGTGAATCTGTGCTCAATATTTATTAGCACGTGGCTGACAGCAGCTGGATTTATACATTTGGTAAGTATTTGGGTTGCTTTTTTAAGGAAAAAAAACTTACTAGGGGATGTTCACATTGCTATTGCCATTTATGTGAAACTTAGCTTGCCCAGGCCAAAGCAGTGACATAAATATAGCTTAAAGAATTTTAAGAGGCACCAAGAAGCCATTTCACACTTTCTGTGATGGCTCAGGCTGTAAAGGAGAACTGTGTCGTCCTCCCCCCCCCCCCGACGTGTTGTGAGCATGTGCCAGTAATCCACAGCCATTTGAAGATTCCTGATACATACCTCCAGATATTTTCAGGAACCTCTTTCCTCTTGGTGAGAAAAGCTGCTTGGGGAGGGGCAGAGGAAAGGATTAAACCTTTGCTCCCACCCTGCGGGTCCTCCCCCCTCTTGGAAGCCATTACTCATTTGCACCACATCAATTCATGGGGGGTGGGGTGGGAAGCCATCACAGAGCAACTAGTACTGTGCTGTTTGGTCCTAGAGGTTGAAATAATTCTATAATCGCAGGAGTCTTTTACTGAGATTGCCATTAACAAAACGTAACCACTAGATGGTAGTGTTTCCTTAATAACAGCAAGAGGGGAAAAAATGTCACTGAAGGCAATGCATGAAAAAAACCACTGTGTTCTAACAAGCACTTTATATGTTACTAATATTTAAGAGAGAGGGAGAGAAAATATTTAAATGATACTTTAATTGTTATATAAATAATGCTTTAGTTTCTTCCTTAAGTCAGTGTTCAGCAATTCTTTTTGAGGCCAAGGCACAAATCACTTGAGGCACATTACTTTAACAAACATATCCCCTTGGTAAGGGCTAAATAAATCTCTTGAATCCTAACACTCTGTTGAGTCATACATGGCTGAAACTCACATCTATGGAAACCTTTTCCAGCTAACAAGTTGGTGGGAATTGATTCATACGGACCATTTCCATTCACTGAAACGCATCCCTGAGTGACAGTCGCTGAATCTTTGTTGCAGCAGTGGTCCAAATGTTTCAAATCCTTCTCTGCCTCTGCAGCCCCGGAAAATCAACACTTGCTACTGCTGTGGGTGATCAGAACTCTGGCAACGGCTCCCAGGACATGGGAGCTGCTGCCACCCTGTTCCTGCTCAGGAATTTGTGCAACTGCTCTGGTCAGTTGTGAGCAGCACAGTGGCCGATTATTATTGCACAGACAGATGGTGGACGCAGGTGTGCCAAAGTTTGCTATGGCTTGGGAAGCCCTGCAGCTCAGTGATAGAGCATTTGCCGTGTATGCGGAAGGTCTCAATTTCCGTCCACAGCATCTCCAGGTAGAGCTTGGAGGGGCCTCTGCCCGAAAAATTGGGGAGCTGTTGCCCATCAGTGTAAACAGCAATGAGCAGGATGGATTAATGGTCTGACTCAGTAATAAGGCAGCTTCCTATGGCAAAAAAGTGCTTTATATTGCAGTAATACCTTCCCCATGGGACGCGGGTGGCGCTGTGGGTAAAACCTCAGCGCCTAGGACTTGCCGATCGTCAGGTCGGCGGTTCGAATCCCCGTGGTGGGGTGCGCTCCCGTTGCTCGGTCCCAGCGCCTGCCAACCTAGCAGTTCGAAAGCACCCCCGGGTGCAAGTAGATAAATAGGGACTGCTTACTAGCGGGAAGGTAAACGGCGTTTCCGTGTGCTGCGCTGGCTCACCAGATGCAGCTTGTCATGCTGGCCACATGACCCAGAAGTGTCTGCGGACAGCGCTGGCCCCCGGCCTCTTAAGTGAGATGGGCGCACAACCCTAGAGTCGGACATGACTGGCCCGTACGGGCAGGGGTATCTTTACCTTTACCTTTAATACCTTCCCCAGTTGTCTTGTGCATTAGTCGTTGTATTTCCATCCTGCCCTCCTCCAGAGTTTTGGGGGTAGGGCTTGAGCCTCTGTTTTATCCTTACAGGCATCCTGTGAGATCCTTTCGCCTTAGAAATAGGGATTGGCTCAAAGATATTCAGTGATCTTTGTGGCTGAATAGAGATTTGTGCCTGGGTCTCCCCAGTGTAAATCCAAAACCCACAACTGGTACACTTCCCTGCCTATACACACCGGTCCTGCTTTCTGAATGCCTGCTATGTGAAAATTCACTTATTCAAACTCAGGGAATTAGTACCCAAACCTCGCTATGCACACACAGTGGATTCAGATATCTGGACAAACATTATTTTCTTTCCTCCTTGTTTGCCTTTTGCAGGTTGACTGAAGAACAGAGGGAGGAAGAAGAGAGGGGAGCAATCAGACAAATCAGAGGGTTGTTTTTTGCTTTGGGTGGCCAAAATTCCATAGTCGGAAACACATTAGAAATTTCCCCATAGGAATCAAGGGAATTTGTCAACTCATTATGCAAATGCTTGCTTAACAAATGATTTCCAGGGAACACATTGTGTTCAGATAGCAGAACCTGTGTATATGTAAAATCAGGGGAACACTCTTATAGTGTTCTACTGTCTTTATTTCATTCAACATCCCAACAGCCCCCTGTAATGCTGCTATTAATTGCTAGCTAGAAATAAAAGAATTTGCCTTCAGTCACCCAATGACTGCTTACCTTCATGCAACAAAGCTTTGTAAAGGGCTGTTCTGTTCTTCAGCCTTGTGGGCGTCTATACACCTGAATCATTCATCTGCTGTTATTCTTTCATTGTAGGTGGAGAACTCAGGGGATCCATGGGAAAACTTCCAAAATAACCAAGCGCTTACATATTGGGAATGTGTTTATTTACTAATGGTTACTATGTCCACTGTTGGTTATGGAGATGTTTATGCAAAAACAACCCTTGGTCGCCTTTTCATGGTCTTCTTCATCCTCGGGGGACTGGTAAAATTCTTGTTATTTTCTGCTGGATTTTTTCTCCTTAGTGTAGTAATTATTATAAATTGATGAGTAACAACACATTCTTATTTTTAAATAATAATAATAATAATGTATGCACAATTATCGTTATGCAGAGCTGTTGACTTATAACTAAACTATGACTGCGGTGGTGTGCTTAAGATTATAATGCATGCAGGTACAGAAAGTCTCTCAGTATGAACTTTCCAGTTAGCGGTTACTGGCAGTGCATTAATTTGGTGATTATGATAGCAATAATGTTAATGTTAGCTGCGGTTTCAAGAACCCTCCCCACCCTCTGTGTTCCTTCCCAATATTCCAACAAACACTGTGGCTTAGGACCACCTTTAAAGAGCCGCTTGCCCGTTCCAGACAATGGCAAAACTGTGTTCTCTTTCATTTCGACACATGGCAACCATACAAGGAGTAACATGGTACTAACTCAGGCAGTCATTGCCAATTACCTAAGAGGAGTCAGTCAAGTATGTCTCTGCTGTGCTTGAGGAGCTGAGTAAGTACACGCTGAACGGCGAGAAGGAAAATATTTGCATAGATAGGTAGATGTACATATCTTGTATCTAATCAAATTGCCTCTTTATTTTTCTGTCAATGCTAAAGACAATGCGGCAACTGTTGCAATTTTTTGTCTTAAATTGTCTTAAACAGCACCCTTAGCATTAAGATTTTCATTCCTTAAGGTAAGTAACTTATCAACTTCAATCCACAATATATGTAATGTACATATATGCAGTCACTGAAGTATTTTTTGAAAACCTCTCACATATTTTTGTATATCTTGTATACATCTCTTTCTTGGGGATGTTGCATCTGCTAAGTGCATTATAAATGCAGTATTTCATACTCATTTATTTCCAAAAGAGGTGCCATATTTGTGTGCCAAAAAATGAGGCCAAGTTCACTGGCAGCAGCTCTTAGAAGTATCCAGCCACAAGCAAAATGTTTGTTGGACAAAACATGGCAGATTCCATTCCCCACCATCACCCCCCTGCTTTTACATCTTTACATGTTCTTATCAACTTTTTTAAAAGACAAACTTTTAAAAATACGTTTTAGTTACATCTTGTTCATTCTCATGTGTGTGGAGGAAAGCCTCTGCTACCACCCTGTTTTCTTTGGTAACGGGGAGGAACCCCTCGTCTTTCTTTTATAAATTAGCACCATCAGCTTAGCAATAATACATATTTTGGTTCGTTTTGTCTTGGTGGAGGTTTTTGATTTTTTTGGCGGTGTATAATGTTTGAATATCCCCGCTTGCCCCTTTTCAGAAAGTGTTAGCCATGCAGCTGCACTTTATCACTCAGATGCCACTCTGACCTCATTTTGCTCTTGGCTTCTTCTTTTTTTGGTTTTTGTTTTGTGTGCCTTTCTCCCTCTTTTGACCATTTTCTTTAGTTGACCAGACATGCATTTCTTTTGAGACCCAACATTTATGTCAAAACTTATTTGTTTTAATTTTATGGGGGGGAAACCCCTTTTTAAAACCTTTTTGAAGGGGATAAAAACACCTTTTATAGATCTAAGTCTTTTGCATTTTCAGATCTTAAAGATGATATATCTTAAAATATTCATCATCCCCCTTTCTTTGGCCTCTCTTTTTAGTCTTTTCTTCTGTCTCCTATCTTCTTCCTTAGGCCATGTTTGCCAGCTACGTCCCTGAAATCATAGAGTTAATAGGAAACCGCAAGAAATATGGTGGTTCCTATAGTGCGGTTAGTGGAAGAAAGTAAGTATTCCAAGAGGCTCTGCTGCCTCTGGTGCAGTAGAACACTCTCTGCATGCCATTTTCTTTTTTTGTGCTTTTGTTTCACGCATGTAGGCAATGTTTGCGCGCTACGTGCCAGAAATTGCTGCTCTCATCCTTAACCGGAAGAAATACGGAGGGACTTTTAACTCAACCCGAGGCAGAAAGTAAGTCCAAAAAGAGACGAAGACCAGGTGTGCTTGTGTGACGTTAAAAGAACCTGCCATGGTGGTGACATCTGACTCACGGACACACCCTGATATGCACTCTCTGTCTGTCCCTCTCTTTCTCTCTCCCCCTCACGTGCCATTTTTGTGTGTGTGTCCTGTTGACATCAAATGTCGTTTCCTCCCTAAGTTGTCACACTGCATATTAAGAGACCTGGGCCATGCTAAGGTACAAGTCAAAGTGGTTTCCCCCTGTTTGCTAAAGGAACTACTAGTAATGCTAGAACTCAGTTAACACAGTCTGGAAGATGACCCTGCTATTATTAATTTGAAGTCAGCATATAGGACTAAGATGTTTGTTGTGTCAAATATCTCCATGTCAGTGAGGGGTTACTTCTGTGGCTGCTTTTTTCTGAACACTCGCATCCAAGCTACTTACCTGGGGAATGTTGTAAGTGAACCAGCTCCCATGTTAATGTCACAAGAGACCATATGGGTTCATCTCCATTCAAGGCATTTGACAAACTAGCTTACATTTTCTATCTCTCCCTGAAAATGTGTTTCATTGGTGATAGTGGGACATACCTAAATATTTTCAAGTGACTCTGATGTTGATGTTGAGATAACTCATGCCAAAAGTACTGTCAGATGCAGCCCTTCACTGATCTGATTTTCTGCTGATAATCTAATTTTTATTTTAGTTGGGTTTTTAAAATGACCCTTATTAACAACAAGCAGAGTTTCTGAAGATTTGTCAACAGTTGACAAATCTGAACAGTTCAGCCAGGAAACCAGACCACAACTTGTGTCCGTCTCCAAAACAGAATCAGTGTTATCTGTAAATAGAGAATAAATACACATATAACATCAGCACTAAAGTCCCTTTTTGGGTGGCAGAAACATTTAATGATGTAATGATGTGAGGTCTACCAATTTTCAGAAATTAATTGCACTAAATTCACAACTAAAAACTATTGATTACCTTAAGCATATTATTAACAAGAATTTGCCTCAGAAAATCTGAACAAGGCCTTAACCTTTCCCAGTTGCACCCTGTTGTATCTTCATTCAGTCTCCTTATTTCCTTTCGTCTTCAGTCCAGTATATGTTCTGCCATTCCATAGCAAAAGATGGAAAGAGCTCATCTGCTAACCCAACATTCAACTCACTACAAACTAAACAAAACTAAATTCCCATTTGCTGTAGCAGATAGACAATAGAAAAGTGAACTTTCAAACTATTTCCTTTTAATGAACCTTGTTGCTGCTACTCTCAACCCACAAACCACATTTTCCCATTTTGTGGTGTCTTTTTGAGGGGGGCGGACAGGAGGTGAGAACTACTAGCTCTGTGTCGCTTTTTGATGTGATGTGAGCATGATGATATTGGATCCATCCCTCTTTGCCTCCACATCTGACAAACTCCAAAAGACCTATAATCTTATCCTAACTCATTCCAAACTAGTACTTCTTTGCATTGTCTATGGCATTCCAGGATTTTGGAATGTCCGTCTTTAGATGCAATTTATTTAAATAGTTAAATACTGTGAGATTTTTCTCTTTCCTTTCCCTGTTGAAGCTCATGTGACGAGCCCAATCCATTGAAAAAATGTTGAATCCCAATGCTGTGAAGGAAGATTTCACAAGTACAAACCCTGTTAAATTCAGACATTATTTGAGCCCTGAAGTGCATGCTCACCAATTCTAAACATGAAATTTAGCTTTGGGATTGAAATGCCTCTGATAGGACTTAAAAACAGTAGGTAGAATCCTGCATAAATCAGTTACAATAACTTCAGGCTGTTAATCAGAGACTGGGTTTTTGAATGTTCTGCTGAATTAAAACAAAAGCCTCTGCATGTGTAAAATAACATTTTCTATTACTATATAGAACTGTAGAATTGTTGAGTTGGAAGGACCTAGTCCAACCTTCTGCAATGCAGAAATTTATTACATATTGGAAACATAGGAGAATATTCAGAAATATGACATTCCTTGCCTGCAATCTGTAGTAGTACAGGCTGGAATTCTATCACCTTATTCTGCACTATGAGAAGAAAAGCTATAAAGTCCAATGGAATGCCGTGACAGGATTATTTCATTGGTTACTTCGAAGTCCAATTCATTTCAACAGGACTTAATCATTCTGAACGTCTCTTCTAGTGTGTTTTTGGTGTGTGTCTCACCTCTCATTTTTACAGGACTCATTGACCCAGTTTGCTCGTAATGCTAAGCCAAACTGTGGTTTAGGGCAAATGTGGTTTAGAACAAAGAAACCGTGGGGTCACTCAGAGGAGAAGATGGTGAAATGCAAACAGGGGACACAGAAAGGGCTGAACTCCTCAATGCTTTCTTTGCCTCAGTCTTCTCCGATAAAGAAAACAATGCCCGACCTGAAGAATTTGGAGCAAATGACACAACCCAGAATAACTAAGGAGATAGTACAAGAATACTTGGCTAGTCTAGATGTATTCAAGTCTCCAGGGCCAGATGAACTGCATCCAAGAGTATTAAAAGAACTGGCAGATGTGATCTCAGAACCACTGGCAGTCATCTTTGAGAATTCCTGGAGAACAGGCGAAGTCCCGGCAGACTGGAGGAGGGCAAATGTTGTCCCTATTTTCAAAAAGGGGAAAAGAGAGGACCCAAATAATTACCGCCCAGTCAGTCTGACATCAATACCAGGGAAGATTCTGGAGCAGATCATTAAGCAAACAGTCTGTGAGCACCTAGAAAGGAATGCTGTGATCACCAATAGTCAGCATGGATTTCTGAAAAATAAGTCATGTCAGACTAACCTGATCTCGTTTTTTGACAGAATTACAAGCCTGGTAGATGAAGGGAACGCAGTGGATGTAGTCTACCTTGATTTCAGCAAGGCATTTGACAAGGTGCCCCATGATATTCTTGTAAAGAAGCTGGTAAAATGCGGTCTTGACTATGCTACCACTCAGTGGATTTGTAACTGGCTGACTGACCGAACCCAAAGGGTGCTCATCAATGGTTCCTCTTCATCCTGGAGAAGAGTGACTAGTGGGGTGCCACAGGGTTCTGTCTTGGGCCCGGTCTTATTCAACATCTTTATCAACGACTTGGATGATGGACTCAAGGGCATCCTGATCAAATTTGCAGATGACACCAAACTGGGAGGGGTGGCTAACACCCCAGAGGACAGGATCACACTTCAAAACGACCTTGACAGATTAGAGAACTGGGCCAAAACAAACAAGATGAACTTTAACAGGGAGAAATGTAAAGTATTGCACTTGGGCAAAAAAAATGAGAGGCACAAATACAAGATGGGGGACACCTGGCTTGAGAGCAGTACATGTGAAAAGGATCTAGGAGTCTTGGTTGACCACAAACTTGACATGAGCCAACAATGTGATGCGGCAGCTAAAAAAGCCAATGCAATTCTGGGCCTCATCAATAGGAGTATAGCATCTAGATCAAGGGAAGTAATAGTGCCACTGTATTCTGCTCTGGTCAGACCTCACCTGGAGTACTGTGTCCAGTTCTGGGCACCACAGTTCAAGAAGGACAGTGACAAACTGGAACGTGTCCAGAGGAGGGCAACCAAAATGGTCAAAGGCCTGGAAATGATGCCTTATGAGGAACGGCTAAGGGAGCTGGGCATGTTTAGCCTGGAGAAGAGGAGGTTAAGGGGTGATATGATAGCCATGTACAAATATATAAAAGGATGTCACATAGAGGAGGGAGAAAGGCTGTTTTCTGCTGCTCCAGAGAAGCGGACACGGAGCAATGGATCCAAACTACAAGAAAGAAGATTCCACCTAAACATAAGGAAGAACTTCCTGACAGTAAGAGCTGTTCGACAGTGGAATTTGCTGCCAAGGAGTGTGGTGGAGTCTCCTTCTTTGGAGGTCTTTAAGCAGAGGCTTGACAACCATATGTCAGGAGTGCTCTGATGGTGTTTCCTGCTTGGCAGGGGGTTGGACTCGATGGCCCTTGTGGTCTCTTCCAACTCTATGATTCTATGATTCTATGAGCAAACATAGGTTCCCAGAGATGGCATCATGTCCTCTTTCTTCCTCCTATGGTCCTGCTGCTGCTGTGTTGCTGTAACGCAAGTTAGCCTTACATTCAAACCAGGAGCCATGGCTTTTCTTGCTGCAGACAAGTCATGAAGTTGTAGCCACAGGTTACATGGTTTGTCTGGGGGAGCTAAACCACGATTCCAGGTGCAGAAATAATGCTAATCAAACCACGGCTTAGCTTACAGTAGCACCAGAGGAAGAACACAATGGTTGTGATCTTCTCCTTAGGAACCCACACATTCGCTTGCTCACACTAATGTGGTTTGGCTTAGTGTTACATGTGAAGAGGGCCAGTGTTAAAGGTTGAAGGTGTTTCATTTTTAATCTAGTTTCCCTCAGTGGGACCCCTGACCATTAGGTCCAGTCACGGACGATTCTGGGGTTGCGGCACCCATCTCGCTTTATTGGCCGAGGGAGCCGGCGTCCAGCTTCTGGGTCATGTGGCCAGCATGACTAAGCTGCTTCTGGCAAACCAGAGCAGCACATGGAAACACCGTTTACCTTCCCGCCAGAGTGGTACCTATTTATCTACTTGCACTTTGACGTGCTTTCGAACTGCTAGGTTGCAGGAGCAGGGACCGAGCAACGGGAGCTCACCCCATTGCGGGGAAATGCTGACTTTTCTTTACTCTTGAACAAGATCAGGTCTTCATAATGCATCCAGTCAGAAATAAGCCCCTCTCAGTTTAGTAGGCCTTGTTCCCAGGGAGGAATGAATAGGATTGCAGGTGAAGTTTAAATGTTGAACAAAGTACTTT